CCCTATGACTCTCCCACGACCCTCTCAGGTTCCTAGAGCAGGTACTGTTGGTTCAGAGGCTCTTCCCAGCCCTCACCTCAATACCTCCAGACAAGTTTGCCCATCTGGAACGATCTTTCTATATCCCTACACAGACCTAACCCAACTATGAGCTGTGCCAAGCCTGCCTTCTCCCAGGGCTCCTTTCTTCTCTTAGCTCCACTTCCCACAGGGCCTACACCCCACTGAGAATGAAAAGTAGTGAATCATTCAACAGGCAACTGAGGCTACAGGCCCTGATCTAATCTACTATTTCTCATTCAGTCTAGACCAGGGGTGGGCAAACTGCAGCTTGCAAGCCACATGCAGCTCTTTGGGTATGTTCCAACTCTAAAGTTTGCCAACCCCTGGAAGAGCCAATCCTGTTCCTCACAGCAATTAAAAAATTATTCGAGAGCCATAAATATATTTTTACAAATAAGGAAAATTTAAAGTACCATTATAAATGAAACTATGATAGTTTCATTTTCAGTTTTACTTCAGAGCCACATGTACGTACCCAAACAGCCGCATGTGGCTCGCGAGCCGCAGTTTGCCAACCCCTGGCAGCTCCTCTGTCTCAAAAGTTTGCCGACCCCTAGTCTAGACAAACTGTTCCATTACCTCAACCATGAGAGTTTCTCTCCAAAAGGAAATCACACCAAAAGACAATGCCCTTAAGTCTCCAGTCCCCAGGAGGAGGGTCAGGTCTCCATCCCAGAATAACTTGAGCCCTAAGCAGGGAACCCAGGTTTGGGTGCAAGTGTGCCAGCCACTACTGGAACCAGCAGGTACTCAGGAAAAATTAATAAGACAAGAGGCCAGTTTCTAGAGCCAAGGCACAGAGTCACAACAAATCAGCATCAGGGATGACTTGATGCTGGGGTGCCAGTGTCAACACCCAAGACTTCTTATATCCCCATAGCATCAAGCCTGGGTCCAGAGTTGGCTGTAAAAACTTGGACAGCTGCTAAGGCATTAGAGGGGTGGAATAAGGAGAGGTGGAGATAAAAATTAAGCTGGTTTTACATTTTCAAACCAGAGTCCGAAGAGCAACACTTGAGGTAGCCCATGCCTTTGGTTCTTTAATTTGACTAGTGACTAAAAAAAAAAAAAAAGAAGAAGAAAGAAAAGAAAAAAATGTCTGAATATAGCATAAAAGATTTCCCTGAAGAAACCTTTATTTATTTATTTTTAAATAATTTTTTATTGAGATACAGATACAATTGACGTATAACATTGTGTTAGTTCCGGGTATACAATATAATGATTCAAAATTTATATATATTGTAAAACGATCACCACAATAAGTCTAGTTAGCATCCATCCAACCTGGAAGTATAATTTTTTTCGTGTTATGAGGACTTCTAAAATCTACTCTGTTAGCAACTTTCAAATATACAATACAGTGTTATTAACTATAGTTCACCATGCTGTACATTATAGTCTCAGGATTTATTTATGTTATACCTGGAAGTTGGTACCCTTTGACCACCTTCACCCATTTTCCCCATCCCCTGCCTCAAGCAACCACTAATCTTTTTTTTTTTTTTACTTTGGATTTGCCAACTACAATCTTACAGAAGGCTTTAGAATCAAGCAGATGTGTGCTTGAATGTCTCTGCCGTTTACCAGTTCTTTAATATTGAGTCAGCCTTACTGATTTCCTGCTTTATTTTCTGTTAAAGAGGGATTTCAGCACAGTCCTAGTAATACTGTTGGGATGACTAGGACTGATCTGAGCACATAGCATAGAGTGGTTGTTCCCAAACTTGCCAGCATATTGGAATCACCTGGGGAGCTTCAAAAAATACGATGCCTGTGTCCAAACTACCCCAGAGAGCATTTCTGTGACATGGCCTGGGTTTGGGGATTTCTAAGAGATCCCCAGATGATTCTAATGTTCAGATAAGTTTGGGGATCCCTGGCATAGAGCGAGTCCTATACTGAGCATTAAATATCTTGTTAAGTGAATGGAAACAATTAGTGCCTGGCACTTACTAGCCTTTCTAGAATTCTTGGCTCCCTTCCATTCCCTGACCATCTCCCCTCTGTTTTTATTGGGGAGCCCAAAGACTTAGTATTGGTCTGTGATTCCAGTCGATGTGGCTGCCACTCAGGTCAGGCCTGTGTGAGAACGCAGAAAGCTTTGGTATCGTGCTGTAATATCCTACAGCAGGAGAAAGAGGCAAAGTTGCATGCAAGGGGAAGCCCACAGAGATCCTGTTAAGGGAATGCTTAATGAGTTTGCTTTCAAGTACACTGTATACTATAAAGGCCCTGAATGCTAATTGTAAAGTCACCTTGGAAACCAGAGTCTAGTTTTGTGCTCTCACTGGGGCTGATAGAGGAATGAGCCAGAACCCACAAAGGATAAGTCGAAGGCAGAATTTCAGCTGGTCCTGAGTTCTCTTACTTTTTGGCTTTTATATTCAACATTTGTTGCAATAAATCCTTTGTTTAGTGTTCCTGGGTCAGCCATCTGAATGTATCAAAGTTCCAAAACGTTGAATATGTGGCTTATTGGTTTCAATGTCCTTTTATGGCTCTTGGAGAGAGGCTCTGAATTCTGAGAGCGAGGGAACCATGTAAATCATTCTAAGATTTAGAAGCCAGTATCGTCTCCCCTTTCCACAAAATAGGAGGAACTGTAAAGCTGTGTGTTTCAGATGTGGGAGAGGGGTCTGTCCCTTCACTGACTATTTGAATTATTATGTGCTTATGAGTAAAAATAATACTTTGTGGCTCTCGGCGTCTGGAACTGAGGACCAGAATATTGTTTGATGCGCAAAGCTTGTATTTCACAGTTCTATGATTCAGAGCAAATTCTCAAATTTCACCCCAGTAATATAACAGAAAACATTTAAAACACTGAAGAAAAGAAAAAAGGTCAGTATCAAGAATGGTGCAAACATTTTCTACTTGACCTGAGAACCTTGATGGAGTCAGACTGGTCTTCCTTAGAAAACAAAAAGCATCACGAATTATAACTTCAAGAGACGAGATCTCTAGCTTGCTCAGTTTTTGAGACATGCATTATGAATAGAGAAGAATTTTTTAAAATTTCTTTTTCAATTACAGTTGACATACAATATTATATTAGTTTCAGCTGTACAACATAGTGCTTGGGCATTTATATAACTTATGACGTGATCTCCCTGATAAGTCTAGTACCCATCTGACATCATCCATAGTTACTACAATATTATTAACTATATTCTCTGTGCTGTACTTTACATCCCTGTGACTATTTTTGTAACTGGCAATTTGTACTAAGAGAAGAATCTTTTGTTTTCAGGGTAATTCTATACTTACTAGGGATTATATAAAGTACTTTGCAAATCATGTGGGGTTTTTCAGCTAAAAACTACCACAGATTAAAAACCTGATATTGACACTTTGTAATACTGAGTTGCTTAGGAAAATATGGATATGCTCTCTTAGTTAATATTTAGCACTTATGTAATGTTTTATGTCTTGTATTTAGTATTAAAGATACGTGAGCCTAAGCCACATTTCTATCACTCTCAATTTTTTAAGTTTCCTAATTGTTCAATTGAATTAGCTTGTAACTCCTTATTATAGGAATTTAAAAGTAAAATGGTATATAACACAAGTTTATGTATATGTGTGTTTTCATTCTACTAGTTATAAACTCTGTGACAACTGCATCTATGGGGTTATCTCAAAACATTAAAACAGATCCCTCTATTGTCTATCACCTTTTTTTTTTTTAAAGATTTTTATTGGGTAATTGGGGGGATGGGAACAGTACTGGGGAGTTAGGGGAAGGGAAACAGACAAGTTGCTGTCGTTTTGTTCTTCAATCTAGTTGTGGAGGACGTTGCTTCACTGGCCCAAGTTGGCACCATCATTGCGCTCTTCCCGGGCGAGGCAGATCAGTCGCCGGCTTCTGGACGGCCGCTCACTGCGGCTGCTGGCCGCTCACACTGGCTGCTGGCCGCTCACGCTGGCTGCTGGCCACACACGGTAGCCCATGGCAACCCACTGCCACAGGGACTGCAGCCTACGCCGTCGCCGGCGACTCATGGCAGCCCAGCTCCAGGTTGAGCTGTTGTTCAGCATCTTAGCTGTGGAGGGCAGTGTCACTGGCCCTCATATGTGGGATCCGAACCGGGGCCCTCTGGCATCCCAAGCGAGTTCTTAACCATCGCGCCACTCGGCCGGCCCTTGTCTATCACCTTTTACTGCCATTTGAATTTGTTAGAACTTCACACTGAAAACAAAGATTGCACTTCCCATAGCACAGAAAATTATAATTAGCATACATCTTGCTCAGGAGAAATCCAGTTTTTAGGTGGTTCACTAACAATCAGCATTCGATGAGCCAAACCATCAGATGGGTCCTGCACCCTGACCATCTCAGATTTGACAGCATCCCGGTCACATGTAGTCCTTGCTTGGGGGTCAGTTTGAGGCGTGCATACTTGAAAAGTTAGTTTCAGAGAGTTTCAGTATCTCTTTCTTTATCTGTTCAAAAAGATTTAAAAACATCTAATAATCACTGAATAATTTTCACCACTCTCTCTCATTGATGGTTGCAATTTCCAGTGTCCAAAAAAAAAGCGAATCCTCTTATCAGTGAGACCACTTTTTTCTTAGGATTCTCAATTGGCCAAGTCCCAGTTTCCTTTGTATCCTGAGCTTTGGACATGAACCTGTGAAAATAGCTTTGTTTGCCTCTGAGCTGGCAGCGTGAATCCTGGACATGGAGTTTCTAACTGGCAGGCTGTACACTTGAATCAAGTTCCATGTTCCATGTTCCCAAGGCAAATCCTCTCTCGGTCCCAGGTCCTCTCAAACAGACCCTTGATTCACAAATGTACCCCCTGGGTGCCCTTTGTGAGTCTTGAACCCCACTCTCTCATTGGCAACAGGTTCTAAGTGATGTTGGTAAAATCCCTGCTCTCAGCAAGGACATCAGTCTCAATGCACTGCTTTCCATCTTCTCTCCCCCACAGGGTCCGGTTGCATCAACTACATCAGCATTGTCTGCCCTCTCCCCGGGGCCTGGCCTTCCTCCACCCCCTCCTCCACCTCCTCCAGGGCCACCTCCACTTTTTGAGAATGAAGGCAGAAAAGAGGAGTCCTCTCCTTCACGCTCAGCTTTATTTGCACAACTTAACCAGGGGGAAGCGATTACAAAAGGTGAGAAAACCAGACCTTGAAGCTGTCTCTCTTGGGCCCAGGCACACAGATCCCCCCCAGGGTCCACATTGATGGCTGCATCATTCCAGCCCAGTCCCCAACACACAGGGAGCTACTGTTGGGAGGGCAGGAACCTGCAAGGTACATGGGCCCAGTGGGCTGTTGTGTGGACCAGAAAGAACTTAGAGACTCCGGATTCTAAATCAGCCACGGCAGTGACTGCATAACCACTTCAGCCCTTGCTGCTTCAGCACCTTCTACAAGCAAGGCATCAAGATTAAGTGAAATAAAAATGACAAACAACAGCACCTGTGTCCTCAAGCAGTGTACAGTCTTGTCGAGGAATTATGTCATTGACTACTTTCATTCTCACAGTGAACGGTTAATTAAAAAACAATTGTACAACATTTAATAAAGTCATGTTGACAAAAACTTTATGCAAATGTATTTTTGCTTTGCATGGGTAATGGGAATTATGGTATAAGTGTCCCTGTGCACTGAGCTGGGAGTTAAGAACCCGAAATTCTAAATTTTTCTCTGGCTCCAACTGGCCGCACTGTCTCCTCATCTGCAAAGTTAGGGGATGGATCTGTAACCCTAAAATCAGTTCTGTACTCTGATATATACTTGCTAGAATGCCTTAACCTTTGGACTATGTCTAGGGGATGATTCAGCCATGAGAGAATAAGTAAATCAAACACTCCTTTTGGGCACTGTGGTTTGCCTTTTGCAAAATTTTTATCTATCATTGTATCTACTTAAAAAATAGGTTTTTCAAATTGAAAAATACAGTGTTTCCATTAACTCTAACTTATACAGGTCTCAGACTCTGCATATTAACCTTGAGAAAACACTAGACTGTTGTGAAAATAACATTAACAAAAATTCTTCTGTTGTTTACATTGTGTTGATCTAAGAAGTTAGGGACATGTCCTTTTGCGTAAACTATAAAGAAATGTGTCTATGTGTTACCTTCCCAGGACTCCGGCATGTCGCAGATGACCAGAAGACATACAAGAATCCCAGTCTGCGGGCTCAAGGAGGACAAACTCCATCTCCTACCAAAAGCCACACTCCAGGCCCCAAGTCTCCCCAATCTCATTCCCCTCAGAAACATGCTCCTGTGTTCCAGTTGGAAGGAAAGAAATGGAGAGTAGTGAGTGAAGCCCTTTAACCGTTGTTCCTGACAGTCTAACAAAGGATTAAGGGCTAAACTGTGTACCAAGGTCTTAATGATATCCAAGTGAAATGACAGAAGCAAAGGCCTGGCTAAAATAGAAACCAGGGCTTTCAGAATGCTTCCATAAACATTTTTTTTGTTTTTCATTATTTCCCATTCATTCTTTTCTTCAACTTTTTAAAATTATTTTTTTTAGTTGTGGTAAAATTACGCATAACACAAATGTACCATCTTAACATTTAAGTGTACAGTTCAGTGGCATTCAGTACATTCACACTGCATGCAGCCACCGCCACCATCCATCCACAGAACTCTTTTAATCTTTAAAACTGAAACTTTGTACCCCTTAAATACCAACTCCCCATTCTCCCTTACCTCAGTCTGTGCAAGCAACCTTTCTACTTTGTCTGTGAATTTCACTCCTTTTTCCATAAATTTTAAATCTGTGCACCATTCTGATCTGCTGTAGGCTTCTGTCCCACTGATGCAAGTGCTGATATAACCTACCAGTTCACCCACCATCTCCACCATTGTGTGAGCTGCAGATACTTTGAATGTGGATGGAAGCTGGTGCCCCCTGCCAATCCCAGGGGCTTCCCCAAAGATTGAGGACCAAAGTCCCCAAAAAAGTTGCCATGGTCTGAAAATACACTGGGACTTAGACCACTGTAGTGACCCTTACTAGCTAGCCTATTTGCCCAACTTATACATGACACAGCAGATTTTGCTGCAGCATCATTAAGACCAGACTCAACAAAAAGCTCTCACATGCCTGCTCCAACCCCACTCACTTGCCAGGGTGCCTGATACTTAACTGTTTGCAAATTGACACCAACACCCCCTTCCAAGCAACAGTTCTATCTATTAAAAACATTACAGTGACAAAGACCCGTGGTTTAATCAGTAAGAAAATGGTTCTAAAAGAATATATTGAAAAGCTATAATTAATGAACTCCATAGTAATTTCAGTATGCAATGGATTCAATTTATCTATACATCCTTATATTTAATATTTGCATATGATATGTTTTAATTTTAGGAGTATCAAGAGGACAGGAATGACCTTGTGATTTCAGAGACTGAACTGAAACAAGTGGCTTACATTTTCAAATGCAACAAGTCTACCCTACAGATGAAAGGGAAAATAAATTCCATTACAATTGGTAGGACAGAACTATGGCTGTGTAGTTACTGTAAATTGCTTGTATAAACACGCTGTATGTATTCAGTTAAGTATTTTTTTTCCTAGATAACTGTACGAAGTTTGGCTTGGTGTTTGACAATGTGGTGGGCATTGTGGATGTGATCAACTCCAAGGACATTCAAATGCAGGTAAGTGGCACTTTCAACCATGCTCTATCCCTGTGATGGCTTTGCTCAGGTCCATCCTGCTTTGCACATCCATTCTGCTCAAAAGGGGCCCTTCGTGTCCACCTAGAAAATCCTTTTTCCTATCTCTGTAAACACAGCTCTATCATCACCTCCCCTCTGAAGCCCCATTTTACTTCTTAGGCAGTGTTAACTCCTCCTCTTCAATCTCTTAGGACACATCCTATTTTGCACTTCAATTATTGGCTTACCATCCCTATTTCAAAAACAGCTATTTAATCTTTACAGCCCCAGAAACTTTGCATGGTACCTGTACATAGTAAGTGTCCAATAAATGTTTGATCAGGAGGGATTGAAGTGAATCATTGGTTCTGGGTAAGAAGCAGGGAAAGTTTTTCTGAAGAGTCAACGAGATCATCAAAAAAACAACCTGGAAAGTAGGATTGGAATTGAATTTGCAAAACAGGAGAAAATCTGCATTCTTTTAGTAATTTTGAGTTAGCAAGATGAGATATTAGAATACACAAAAGCTAAAGGACTTCTTACCTTTGCCCAATTATAGCTTCTATCTTTGTTTACATTCCTTTCATATTGGTAAATTATCCCTTATTATCTGATGTTTTCTAATAATGTTTGTTAAAATTGGATTCTAGTTTTATAGATTTTTCCTTTTTCTGTTTTAGTGGGCTTTTCACCATTGCCATGTTTTAAAAAGAATTTTTAATTAAATTATTGGGGTAACATTGGTTAATAACATATAAATTTCAGGTATACAACTTTATAATACACCTGTATTCTCCATTGTGTGCTCATCACCCTAAGTCTAGTCTTCTCTCTTCACCATATAATTGAACCCCTGTTAACCCTCTTCATTCTCCCCCAATCCTCTTCTCCCCTCTGTAACCATCATCTGTTGCCTGTATCTATGAGTTTGCTTGTTGCTTTTTGTTTTATATCCCACGTATGAGTGAAATGATACAGTTCTTATCCTTTTCTATCTGATTTATTTCACTTAGCATAATACTCTCAAGATCCATTCATATTGTTGCAAATGACAATATTTCATGTTTTTTATGGCTGATTAGTATTCCATCGTATATATGTACCATATCTTCTTTTTCCAGTCATCTATTGAAGGACACTCAGGTTGTTCCCATGTCTTGGCTGTTGTAAATAATGCTGCAATGAATGCAGGGATACATATATATTTCAAATAAGTGTTTTCAAATTTTTCAGGTAGATACCCAGAAGAGAGACTGCTAGGTCATATGGTAGCTCCATTCTTAATTTTTTAAGGAGCCTCCATACTGTTTTCCACAGTCACCACTGCCACTTTTAATTAGAGTACAATCAATTATGCATTTTACATTTTACTAACTGCCACTGAAGAAGCTGGTTTTGCATTCATCTGTTAAGTGGAAAGAGTCCTGAACTGGGCACCATGAGACCTGGACACTAGCACCCTCTCTGCCCTCACTCACTGTGTGTACTTGGGAAATTGACTTCCTGCCTTCTCTGAGTTCCCTTCCTTGAAACACAAGGCTAGCTGGGAGATATTAAGTCCTCTCCAGCTCCAAATTCTAAATATTCTTGCCACATAGCCTCTATGGATTCATTTATTTCTGTGACATTCCAGTTCCATATATTGTCTGCAATGCCTCCTTTCCCCTAACCATTCTGATTCCACTTCTTCATAAATTTTATTTTTTTATTAAAAAAAAACTATTTAAAAGAAAGCAACCAAATAATTTCTCAAAGACATATATATGGTTACCTTTACCATGTAAATAGGGAAACTTGACCATCCTCGAATCACACTTTAGATTGTAAAATACAAATTATTTGCCCAAGGCTACTTAGCATCAAGCACTCATACATTCATTCATTCATTCACCAAATATGTATTGAACACGTCTAATATGCAAGGTACTGTTCTAAGCACTAAATGTGTAAGTAAACAAATGGGACAAAACCCTTGCCTTTATGAAGCTTACACTCTGGCAACACTATCTCCCAATTTGTTATTTCTGACAACCACATTTGTCCATTTAATTACACTGCTTCTCTCAAAATATTATGCATGAAAATTTAAGGAAATCACTCATCATGAGAAAAAACCCAATTACTCAAGGACAGGTATAGTTCATAAAAACCTAATAACAACCCCACAATTCCTGAAAAACTCTTTTGGATAGTGGAAGTTCCTACATAAAGAGCCAGGCTCTTTCCCGCTTCACATTATTTTTAACCAAAAAAAGAACCAAACTAGAAATACTATTCTATGACAGAAGTGAGAGTGCATTTCTAGCCAGATGAAAAGTATTTTTGAAATAGTCTAGGCTAACATTCCCTCCTCTTAATTTTAGAGGATTTATTTCAAGCTTCCTTTTATTTTTACAGAAATGAGATTGGGTGGTGATTATGATACCATATATAAGGAGGTAGCATTATTTTTTAATTTAAATGCATCACATTCAAAATAAGAAGCTAAATGAATTAAATATAAAATATGAAACTGGAAAATAGAGAAAAGACTTCTAAATATCCATCAAATTTATGGAGGGAGACAATAATTCTAAATTGAGAAGTAATAGATGAAATTATCAAAAAAGGTAGATATGCTCACTTAAAAATTTTAAACTTCTGAATTCCATACAATGAAACACTGTGAAACCATTTTTAAAAGTCACCTAGAATGATATCTTGTTAAGAGGAAAGAACACTTTTGTACCATTATGTAGAGCATGCTTTTATTTTTGTAAATACAGACACATAACACATATACAGATATAGCTGTATCCGATAATTTTCAAGAAAAATGGTCAGAGAAAGTATACTCCCTTCTGTACCTGAATTAAAGGTATCTGTCAAAATCCTATAGCAAAAGTCATACTTCATTTGAAAATGGACATTTCCCATTAAAGTCAGAAACAAGAAAGAATTCCTTCTAACATTGCTTCTGTTCAATAATGCATAAAAGGTTGTAACCTATGCAACAAGGCAAGAAAAATAATTGAGAAATATAAAACTGGAAAAGGAAGAGACAAAAATGCCCTTTTTTTGGTCAATAAAATTGCTTTATATAAAATCTGAGAATTTCAACTATAAAACTATAGAAACAGGCAGCAAGATGGTTGGACACATTATCAACATACAAAAATCAGTAGCATTTCTTTATGTCACAAGTAAACACTAGAAAATATAATAGAAAATAACATTAAAATTGCAACAAAACTGTAAGGTACCTAGGGAAAAAATAATAAAAAGAAATTCATGAAGAACACAAAAAAGATGTAAATAAATGGACAGAAAGACATCAATATCAATCATCACCATTTAGTTAATCTATAAGTTCAAAGAAATTTGACTCAAAACCTGAACAATGGTCTTAAAATTCATTTGGAATAAAAGTGGACAAGTGTAGCTAAAACAATTTTAAAGACGATGGGGTGAAAGGACTTGCATACCAGATAGTAAGAGTCATTATGAAGTGTTATATTTCTGGAGGGATACAAAAATAGACTAATGAAACTGAATAGCAAGCACTGAAGTAGACAGATGTATACATGGAAATGTACTTTAAGACAATCCATGTGAAGAAAAAATATTGAATTCCTACCTCACACCATACATAAATAATTGTGAATAAATACTTTTAAACTTTGAGACTATAATGCAGAAGAAAATCTTTATGGTCTCAGAGTATAATAGAAATTAATTAGGGTAAAAAAGACACAAACTTTTAAAAAATGGATAGATGAATCTAACCACATTAAAATTAAAATTATATGTTCAATAGAAGACATCATATACAAAGCTGAAGGACAAGCCATGGATTGTAAAAAGATACTTGTAATGCAGATAATCAAAAAGGATTTGTAACCAGAATTTATAAAGAACTTAACACAAATAATAAGAAAAAGACTAATAACCCAATATAAAAATGGGCAAAGAATATTAAGGTATTTCAGGGAAGAAAAACTGAAGTGTTTGATAAAGACATGAAAATATGTATAACCTACCTAACAGAAATAGGAATGAAAATTAATACCACAATATATCTTTTCACACTCATCAGATTGGGATCCAGGCTGTTCTTATTTTGCAAGAGTTGTGTTGGCTGAAACTCATGCATATCAGAGCTGTGCAACTTGAGGACTGCCGCTATATTAAAAAGTCTGATGGTACAAGGGTTGTTAAGGAAGTGAAAAAATTGGAACCCTGATGCATCAATGCTGGGAGAATAAATCTACTACACTCACTGTGCAGAGCAAATTGGCACTATCTAATAAAGTTAAAAACATTCATATCCTGTGTCTGAGAAATTCCACTTTTACTAGGTATATACACTAAAGAAGCTCTAGTACATATATCCATGAGACATCTAAAAATGTTTATTGCAGTAGCATTCATAATGACAATAAAGATAATAAATAAATCCCCCTAATAGAATACTGTACAGTAGTTAAAATGTATGAACTATAGTTACATGTGTAAAAATAGATAAATCTCAAAAGCAACATTGAGCAATAAAAGCAAGTGACATTTCCAGTCAAAATAGCAGAGTAGGTAAACACTGTGTTGCCTCATCTCACCACCACATCAGAATTAAACTAAACTACAGACCAATGATCATTAAGGATTGCCTGAAGTCTAGCTGAACAGAAGTTTTATGACTAAGGACAGCAAGCACCACTTCAAGACTGGTAGGAGAGGTGGAAACACAGAACAAGCTGGTCCCAAATCCATGTGTGTGGCAGTTAAAAATTGGGAGGGATATCTCAGCTGCAGAGGTCCCCCCTGAGGAACGAGGGGTCCCAGCCCCACACCAGGCCCCCCAGCCCAGGGTTTCAGTGCCAGGAAGAGAAGTTCCCACAACTTCTCTCTGTGAAAAACAGTGGAGATTGTGGCTGAGTGAAACAGAGGTCTGCTGGAGTCCCAGGTGTTCCTCTTGAAGGGTTTGAGCATGGACTCACTCACTGATGGACTCATTGTCTCTGAAC